GCCTTATAAGGATTAAACCTAGAGCTAATTCACTTGTGTTTTGTGATCTCTATCATGCTGCAATAATATTACTTAGCACTTTATAGCACTTCTCACTTATAAAAAGTGCTTTATAAACATTATCTAATTATTAATCTTCACAACAGTCCTGTGATACAGGTAGACCAGTCAATTTAATGTTCTTTTTTAATAAACTACTAGCACTTTAGTAAATTGAAAAGTATAGAACACATTAAAGTCACTGAAGAGAAATAAAAGTTAGTGAACAAATCACAATTCTCCCTTCAGCATTCTAGGTGGACAATACTCATAACAAACTGTCAGTGATTACCACCTCTGAGGTCCACAGAGGACAGTCTACATAGTAAACACACTTTTTTCAGATGGTAACATGAATAACGTGAACAAAGAGGGACTCTACCAAAACAACAGAGGTCCCTTGATCAAGACCACTAAGTTTTTTACAAGCAAAACATAGTAGTCCCTACTCTACAATGTTTGGGATCTAGGTATACAACAAGGGACAAGAGGTGGGGAAGGGGAGGAAATCAGTTAAGTGGTAATCATCACTGTTCATACTTTATCTGCCTATGCAAACATATGCAGAGCCATTTTATAACAGTATACTCACTATCTTATTAGTACTGCATAGTTCTCTCCAGTGATACACCTCAAACTTTAGTGTTTGTGATCAAAGACAGGACAAGAGTTTGCCATTTGGTTAAACACATCATGCAACTAATCCCATATTAGCTATTGTGAAGAAAATTAACTCTATACCAACCGAAACCAGTACATTTACATAATCACAAACTGAGTTTTCCTCAAGGTCACTGTTTTATGCAGTGCATGGTATGGACTTGTCTGTGGCATGACTCAATGCAGGGCAGAAGGCTGCTGCCTGAGGATGAGAAGGGCTGCCCCATGCATTGCTGACATTCAGACTTATGTAATGAGTGAGGAATGCAGGAAGAAAGGGAAAAAAAAAAGAGTCTCCTACTTAAGGTAGTTTAAAAGTTGCCCCAAAGAGTTTGCAGTCTACATCTGTTTTTGTCATAAGTCTATGAGATACAGGACAAACTCCTTAAAACCATGCTTTTCACACAAGGTCATCCATTGACTATATGTTCCTCATGTGCTCCATGCCCAGCTTGAAACCTGGGATCTGCCTTGCTCAAAGTGCTGATCATCAGGAATGCAGCTGAAGTTACTGTGCTTTCAGCTCAGTACCCAACCTTAAATATTCTGGGAAAGATAGGAGCAGGATGCCTCAAACTGGATTCCCAAATTAGTAGGTACTTTCAACCTTGATTTACTGTGTCCCAGTCTCCACCTGTCAAATGAGGACAATAATTTCTCCTCATTTCACCAGAGTGTTGTGAAAATAACTTCATTAATGGTTTCTGAAGCACTGTAGTGTTGAGTGCTACAGAAAACTAAGAGGAAATTAATAATTCTGTCTCTGGAGCAAGTTTTGAAAAGCACGCACTAAAAAGGGCCTGAAGGCACACACTTAACCAAAGAGCAAAAACATAAAATATTGGATTTGAAATACTTGAACAAAATATTTGAACTGCTCATTGAATACTGTACTTGCATTATCCAGCAGATTTCATCCTGATTTTAAACTCTCAACTCATAATCTCAGTTTTTATTTGTAAATTACCATGTTTCTAAAAATTCATAGCTATCCAGCTCTGAACGCCATAGCATGGAATCCTAGTGATAAGCCTCTGGCTCAATAGCATCACTAGCAATATTTAGAGTCACTGCATAGATCCCTATCATTTCAGCTCATGGAATAAGGCAACAATAGCATCTCTCTCAACAGAAACCAGTACTTCAAGGAAAGAAGACCCCATTTTGACAGATGATTATGATGATACAATGAAATAAAAAAAGAAAGATGCAATTCAGGGGGAGAAAAAAATGCTCAGAATTTTATACAGAGCAACACATATTCCTTTCCTTTCCAGAAACAGCCAAATAATGTTGATCATAGTCTTTCCAAATGTTTTGCCCCAAGAGTAAGCCTAAATTGGAAATTATCAATCCAAACAGTTACAGTTTGTGAAGAAATTAATTTAAAAATCCTGTTTACAGCAATTTATAAGTGAGAATTTTCAGGCAATCTTGATGACAGTCAATATTCTCTGCCCTACCTAGAATACACATGCACACACTGTTCTACACAGTGTTTTGCTTGCTGTGCAACTTATTTTAATTCTCTCCCAGCACATCATCTTCAGTGCTGATGGGTTTTAATTATTTATTTATTTTTATTATACACCCCCCTAGCTGTTTCTTATATAGAAGAATAGTATTCCTTAGCTTCCCTTAAATAATATACAGATGACTAATCACTGTGGCACCCAGGAAAGATATGTCAGGTAAAGTAAACATTCTCTAAAGAATGGACCCTTGAGCTATCCCTGCCAAACACTCTTACCTGGAACTGTCACAATGATTGTGGTGTGGCCAAAGAAGGAGCCTTTGATGACTGAGGAGATCCTGGTGAGTAGAAAAAAGCCTACTGCCAGTTAGTCTAAAGCAGTGCCATTTAACAGAAGTGACAGAACCAGAGGGCTGCCTTTCCCGACTATAGCACTGAGGCTATCAAATGCATTTTTAAAAATGTGAGTGGCTGAACAACATTATGCTGGTACGGTTTATACGGGGTCAGAGCAAAACTAGAACTGCAGCTTCCATAATATCAACATAGAAAAAAGGACATCCAGTGCCCCACATCCCTTCTAAATCCACTCTTTATAAAAAACAAATGTGCAGAACAGTGTTTTATGTTCAAGATTCTCAGGGAAAAAAACCGGCATGAATATATAATGTTACTCCCGACATGAAAAAGGGTGCAACCTTTTTTAGGTGTGCTGAAACAATCTGGTTTAGGTGTGTTATGGCACAAATTAATTGTTCTTTTAAGTTTTTAAGAACTGTCCTTGCGTGCACCACATCAAACTTTTTAAATCTCCTTCCTACCCTAATGTTGGTTACTTAATCCATTAAGCAATTTTCCCCTCATTCTAAAGTAATGCTTGCAATATCCTCTCCTTGCTTTCCCTTTTTGCTCTTAGCTGCCAGTATTCTTAATTTATGTGCTTCACCTGTATTTTGATACCAAGTCCAGTCATCTGAGTAACAATTCTGAGGCCCTGAAACCTGCCATACAAAGCAATGTGAGGATCAAAAGAGGACCCTGGCTGAACTGATGGATGCCTGAAGCCTAACAGATCAGATATAGCCAGCATGTAGTCTGTGACAGTGTTTAAGAGACAAGCAATGCATCTCCTCCAGAGTCCCGACAGATTTAGGGGACTCACACTGTACATGTGGCCCAGAGACAGAGTAGACAGCACAGAAGCAGCCTCAGGGACAGCAAATGCCCACAGATCTCTTCTACTTGAGAAACAGTCTCCTGTCCTGAACCTCATCTGTCAAAACACGTTATGACTCTTGGGGATGGTCCTGAGCAGGGCTAAGAGTTGACACTCAGTGATCCTTATGGGTGCCTTGCAACTCAGCATATTCTGTGATTCTGTGAAAACTGAACTCCATCCTGTCACCAACAGATGACTGGTAGAGAACAAAAGAACTCTAAGCAAAATATGCAGGATAGCAGAGAGTCCACTTACGTGGCTACAAAACCAAATTCACAGCACTGAGCCCTTTCGCAACCTGTCCACAATACTATAATTCAATATTAAATACTATACCTCAGACAGGAAGTAACTGATGTCCCAGCAGTAGGCTTAAAACTCCTACTTTGTCATGGCAAAGTAAAAAAACCAACCAACCAAAAAAAAGGCAACTTAAAATGGACAGATTTTTTGTCCTCTTGCCACAATTCCTTACAATAGTTCTTCATCCACAGTGGGTTCCCTGGTACCAGGTAGCTGATATTTGCCTTTTCCAGATGTATTCTCATATAGTTTGTGCTATAGACAGTAATGCTTTGTTTGGTCCTCACAGGCATCAGGAATACAGGCCCATGGAACACAGCTGGGAGCTGTATATGCAGAAATGCCTGCGCTGGAGCTGAAAAGAGCAAACCCACTTCAAAGCAGCAATGGAGAAAGTCAGAAATTGGTCAGACAAGAAGGATGATGTGAGGAAAGGGAAAAGATAATGGGAGCTGTGGTTTGCATGTGACACTCATGAGGGGATTAATACACATAATTATGAGCAGCTAAGCAACAGGGTCCTCCCAGGTGGGCTGCATCTGACTGAGGTTACTGGAAGCTCCTTGGAGCACAGTCCAGTATGAATTTTCAATAATTTACTCTGATGTTAAAATACTCCTAATCTGATAATATGCTGTTGTCAAGAATTAGTGACAGGGAAAACTCTCAGGCAATATTTATCTATCAACTCACTTCTGTTGTTTCATTTAAAGTCAAATGTACAATATGATCAGCTACTTATTTCTTCACAGACACACCTATGAAGTACATAATTCAGCAACATATTTCAGAGAAATAGCTTCTATTACACAATAAAGAGAAATGCAAGCTCTTTCCTTTACTTTTCAAGCAATTTGCCTCATTACTCCCAGGTTAGAGAACAACCCCATTCAAATAACAGAATAAATCCACCCCCTTATTTGTTCTCACGGTAGGGGAAGAAAACATCTTTTACACTTCTCTATGGCAGGAGACAACTGACTGGAGATTGTAGGAGTGTACATGTCCACAGAAGAGAGAAGGGAATTCATACACAAAACTGTAGCTAAGGAAACAACTGCTTGAACTCCATCTGGCATGTGAGGATGACTTAAAGACCTGGAAGTTTGTGTTTCAATGAAGAGATTCAAGAGAGAGCTGATATGGAAAAAAGGACTCATTTCTCTGATATGGTTTCATGTCTTGCAAGTGGTCTGTCAACATTAGAATGACTCACAGTTACGTGCTGTATTCTCCAACTTTGTATTTCTCACATTCCCAGCAGTTGGAGAGCACCAGACCTTGCTCTGCTGATCTGCAGATTGCCAGTTTCACATCAATAAATACTGTCCAAAAACTGCATATAATCAGTTGTGTGACTTACCTGGGCTGTAAATACTCTTCGGATCTGATTATCTCCCATTTGAGAACACTAGAAGAAACCCACAGAAACAAAAGAGATAGTTAGTAATTAAACTTACTTAAATAATATCTTGTCCAGCCAAGTACACATAAAATCTTCTAGTATTATCCTCCTGGCAGAACTCAGAAATAGCAAGGACAGAGCCGTAATGAAAAATGAATGTCTTAGCACCCTGAAATCTGTTTCATGTTCAATAATTGGCACCTTTCTCCCATTTACAGTTTTCATATTATACAAACATATTATATACTGTGAGTCAATGAGGTATAGAAAGATAAACTTCAAATACATTATGGACAATCAGCATAAACTAGAGCTCAGGGTCCCTGGGCTTCCCTAAGCCTTTGGAAACAATCAACGTTTATGGTGTTCAGCCTTTGCCTCAAGGGAAATACACACAGTTTCAGTGAGATAATGCACTCAGAGTGTCATGAGTTTTTGAAGCAAAAGTATAACCTGCAAAAGCCTGCCCTTCATAAACCAGCTTTCAATAATATGATTATCAAATCCAAATTATACAACTTTGCAGAGCCCAAGTGTGCCCACATTGCAGACCTTGAAATAGAAAACCTGATTCTTACACAGAAGTTCAACCTGTTCAATCAAGTTTAAATGAGGTTTAACAAAATACTAAAATTAAAGGTCCAACTACTAAAGGCAGAATACTATTTCTTTAAAATTCTGAACCTCTGCAAGATAGAGAAGGTTCACCAAAACAAAGACAACTTTAGCTGGTCTCAAACACAGTCTGAAGTAGTAAGTAGTATAACTACAAAGAGAGAAAGAGAGAGAGAGAGAGAGAGTGTGTGTATTAGACTCTTCTGAGAGGTGCACAAGTGACAGGATGGGAGATTATGGACACCAAGTTGCAACAAGGAATATTGCAATTAAATATTGTTAAAAGTAAAAAAAAATACGACAATAAAATAGGACAATAAAATACGAACATGTATGGCAGAGAGACTGTGCAATCCCTGCCACTGGAGATTTTCAAAACTTGACAGAAGCAGCCCTGAGGAACCTGATCCAAGCTGGCCTTGCTTTGAGCTGAGAGCTGGTACTCAAGAAAGTGCCTCATTTCTTGCTGACTCGCTTGAGGGCTTATAGCCTTCACCTGACTCCAAGCTGGAGCAGAGCAGGCCACTTCTTGTGGACAGAAGAAACTGAAATCACCTCTCCCATGAAGCAAGTGGAAATTTTAACCTGGAAGAACCTTGATTTTTAATTTTATGTATTGGAATTAATGGTGGCTCAAAATATGCTAATCAGTAATCCAATAACTGATAAGTTTTCTGCAAAGAAAGCCTACGCTTCTAGCAGACAAATAGCCCCATCACGATAGCACCTTCAACCTGAGCAAGACTGTGAAACAAGCACGTCACATCCTCTTTCATAGATGTGTTAAATTACTGTAGTGACTTCCTTAAAATCCTGTAAAAAGTGAGATATGGTACAGAATAGAGACAAATACCCTGCAGGGTTTATTTGGTTTCCAAACAATACCCCACAGAGTGGAAGAATGAGAAAGGCAGTTTAAGTTCATAGTAAGTGTGGCTCCACTGCAGCAATGCTGGAAACATCACATCATCTCAAATTCATTAAATCAATTGTCAGTTCCTGAATATTCATGACAGATTACTGTACAGGTGGCTTAGATTACCCATTTTTTGTAAGGAAGGGAAAGATTAGCTAATATTTCCCCAGAAAATCTGGGGGCAGCCTTTGTGAAACACCTTGGGTTACTCCAGAAGGAAATGAATACAGCTTTTGAAGAATAACACTGAGGCACACGCTGTTCACAGAAAGTGACTTGCCTGAGGTCTTGAAGGCTGAAATAAAAGCCAGTTCATACTTCAACTCCTAAATCAAAGGACTAGGTCCCAATAGTAGAAATCCAGTCAACATAGTAACTCTGAAGAGAACATATTATCTTATACAGGTTTTGTATTTACTTCTACAGGCAGCTCCAGAGAGAGACTGCTAAACACAGAAATCAAGCTAAAATGATCAAGCTTAATAGCAGATTGAAATTCATAACAAAGTTTTGAATAAAAGATTACACTGAATAAAACACTAGAGTGGGTTGTGGGAGAGATAACATAGGAATGAAATGAAACCACCAAAGGTTTATGAAGCATCTCTTGTTTCTCATTGTTCATGTCTTCTGTTACCTGACCTTCATGTTGCAGAGTTTCACAAACCAGCATTTCACACTATCCATATTTAAAACTAACCCGGACAGAGTACTCTCAATTTAAATAAGGGTTTGTGTTCTCTTGGTTTGTTTGTTTGTTTTTTTTTCAGTTGTGCCTTCTGTGATGTGCCCACCAATGATGAACCACACCAGCCAGCCTTGGTTTTCAATACCTCTCCCTCTTTCATCTCCATTGAGTCTTATATAAATGCTCCTGGCTGAAACTGTAGGTAGTCTACATCTCGGGATACATTTTTCCCTTACATCTTAGAATCCTATAATTTATAACATGAAATTTAAACCAAGCTAAATTAGTAATTCAATCCCCATATTCCAATTTAATGAACTAGAGGTTTCATTGCTTTATTGTTTTGTGCCAGTGGACCAATTGCTTGGTTTACAGATGGAATGTAGTTCTTTCTTAATAAATAAATGCATAAAAAAATAAAGGTATCCTCAATGCAATTATGCTGATGTCCCTCAGGAACCAGAATGCAATTATTTAAAATATTATTTTCTTAGATTACTCTCAAGAAAATAAGGAAAGAAATATGAAATTTGTGTCCTTTTAACTTAAACTCATTTTAAGAGCAGCAACAGTGATGCAGATAGTCCCCAGTGGCAACTGAGAAGCACTTAGCCAGAAAATTGTTATTGGATTACAGTTCTGGCTTCATAAAACGTGGCTAAAGATCATTTTAGACATCTATGGAATGACCCATTGTCATAAATGGTATGACAAACAAGTGACAAAGTTATTCTATTCAGCCATTTTGAGGATTTTTCAGATCACAACAGTAACTTGGGGCTGTATCAGCCTGCACAGTTTTGATTCAATTATAAAAATAACTCACAATAAGAATAATTCTAGCATAAATAATTGAATCTCTCCAGAGGAAAAGAAAAATCCTCACAAACATGTGCGTTCACTTTCAAGTGTTCCTGATGTACAAGGAATTGTGAAGTGATAGAGTGATCAGAAGTCAATTCCGATAGAGAACTACCTTTCAGACTAACTGGTCTTCTTTATTAAAATAAACAAGATGGAAAGGGCACCAAAGGACACTGCATGATTTTTAACAATGTGCAAACTGAAACCACTTAGATACCACCAAGGTTCATACGATCCTTTTCATTTCACTTTACAGTCTTTTTCAAACAAATGATTTCCTGCATGAGAATCCTGCCTCCCATATTTTACTCTGCTGATAAAAAATCCAACTAATGTGAATACATATCAGATGTACATGTGCATACTTAAATAAATGCAAACAAGAAATAAAACTCTTCACCCTTACATTTGAGGTCACCAGTGACCACTTGCAACACTGTAAAAATCAGAACCCTAATAAAAAATGTAACATGGGATTTAATTTCTTCATGTGAAGTCTGTCATTTTTCTTCTCTGCCCATTACACGGTATGTCTTTGCTCGTATAATTACATAATTAACATCCTCAGCACCTATTTCATCCCTTGTTAATTTTGCTAAATATAAATACAGATACGCTCAAGGAAACAAACTTGGCAAGTGAAGAAGCATAACCAATTTAAAGGGAAAAAAAATCTATTCAAATCCTGATAATCAGTAGTATCACTGAGCATTACTAGATGCTTGTAAGCCACATGATGGCCCTCTGAATAGAAGTGTCAGTGCTGGTTCAGCTTTCACTGGGATGACAGAGATCGGCCCAAAATGTTGGTACAAGGAGGTCTTGGTTTTGTTTGTCTGTAAGCAGTCTTGCAGCACCAAAGAGCAGTGGTGGCAGCCGGTAAGCCACGCTGGTCTCACAACATTGTTAGTTCCCAAATCTTTTTTCTGAAAATCAAAAGGATTTGGGATGAGGTAGGGAGGCTGATAAATTTCCCAAAGTTTTAATCGATCCACCCTTGGTAAGGAAATTGGCAGTTTTATTTCTTCCTCCACAGTGTCCAAAAGGTAATTCTGATCATCCTTGTGAAAAAGGCAAATTTCAGAGGGGTTCCATTTGGTGGGGCCACAGAGACCAGATCTGTATTCTGCCTAAAATGTGGATCCTCACATTTAGGATCGGATTTTAAAACTCTTAGTCACACCAAAATTTACTTAGTTCCTTGAATGATACTAGGTCATGGAGGATGGTGTTATTAAATGAACAGAAGTTTGCATCAGAAACATACTTTTAAACTTACTGCTTCCATACTGTCTCTCTATGAAGATGGATAATGTCATTTGATACAGTGGCTTGCAATCAGAATTCAAAAATCCTTCTCATTAAGAGTTAGTATCCAACTTGTTTCATTGCAGTCACTAGCCAGTACAATCTGAAATTATACCAAGGTCTGTCCCCCAGTATACTGTGCTGACCTGTTTATCTCTAGAATTCTGTTTAATTCTGTCTCAGCAATTTCTCCTCCCAGCACATACTATTTCAACAGTCAGTGATCACTGGAGTTAAAGTGCACACAAGCAGCTGAATAGGATGCAATTCTTATTCTTATGATGAATATCAGGGTCAGAGGTGAGTGCCAGATAACACATAGCAGATGTGGAGGGAGTAGAAGGAATTCTGTTTACTTTGGGTGACCACCTACATTTCAAGGGGGGTGGGGGAAGGCTAAAACTGCAAGATAAAGACTGTTTAAAGGAGTGCATTGTACAATATTTTGCAGGACAAAGCTACATTCTTGTATATTAGCAAGAACTATTGTTGAAACATAAGGCACAGTGTGGCCCAAATTAACCACTTAAGGAATGTGACTCTTCATGAAACAAATGAGAGAAATCTTTTAAAAACATAGCCCATAACCTGTGATCACTTCAGCTGATATTGAAA